TCTGGCTGGGGGGGGACCAAGGATACGACCAGGACAGGGCAGGAGCCGGGACTTCTGCAAAGGGACCACTGCCAAAGTGCCTGGCATCTTCTGCCACTGTGCTGTGACACCAGTGCTATGACAAGCCCGTGTCCCTGTAGTCTGGCTGGGGATCAGCTGCGGCGCTGATCCCATCACCCGCAGCAAAGCAATCCTCGGCAGCTCCCTCCCAAACAAAACCCACCTCATCCTCTTGCCGGCTTCTCTCCCGAAGACTGGCCTGCTCTGCCAGCCTGCCTGCATCTCCATCACCCTCCCTCTGGGCATGGAAAGCTACTGCAAAATGCATTAACCGCCACATCTGCCTGACAAGTATATTTGTGGGGAGGATGCAGTGAGTGTGATACAGTCCTCTGTGTCATTTTTCCACCTGCCTGGTATTTAGGATGAAAAGATGATCAGGCCCGTAAAATACAATCCACTACGTGATGACTTGTAAAGCGGTAAAATGGAGACATTGAAAGTCATTCACGCCTCTTTTCATGTCATTGCACGGTGAAATCCTACCCACAAACATAAAATTTTTCAGGTTAAAGGCTGAAAGATTTCAAAAACATATGTAGGTAAGTTGGCTCCCTCCGTAGCCGTGGCAGCTGGGTGTGCTGGGGACGGATTACAGAGAGCGCGGCCGAGCATCCCGTACAGCAGGTGTTGAAAGCACACAGGCCTTTCAAACACCGGTAGCAGGTCGTGCATTAAAATGTACCTTGGTGCCATCTGATAATAAAGCGTAAAAAAATATTACAGCTTCCAACCCATGAGCCGCCACCCCTGCTCCATGGACAAGAGCTCTGATTGTACTGGAAATGCATAAGCCGCCTCTTCAAAGCCAGAGGGAGCCTCATTCCTCAGAAATTGCATCCGAAGCAGCACATGAAGAACTTCAGTATATTGCCAGACAAGGGCCAGAAGAGACCCTGGTCATCCCCGTGCTGACTTGCCACCTAGGGGCACACAGCAACAGGCTTTGTGCTGGAGACTTACAGCGCAATTAAAGTTTATCTATCCAAAAGATAGAAGGTGGCAAGATTTCTTAAGTAGGTCTCATCCGTATTGGTAAATCTCAGCAAAGCCGATTTCAGGTCACTGTCATGAGCCTGCTCAAGTACGCTGGGAAGAGGCAAGATTTGGGATGAACCAGCAATTGCCAAGCAGGCTGTTTTCAGCCCTTTTTCCATGCAGTGTCACAAGCTGGAGGTATATGGTATAGATCCTAAATGCTGAGATTTTTCTGCCGCTATATTTGGGATTGCAGTGGTTATTCCTATTTTATCAGTCTGTAGGACTCCTGGTTACTGGATGCAGCCATAAAAGGTAAAGAAGCCCCGGCAGGCATGGGTAACACCATTAAATATTGGTCCTGACAATGGTAAATGGGGTTTAAAAGTTTGGAACAGAATGCCAAGAGAGGAGCCTCTTCCCTGAACCAAGGAATAATATAAAGCCCCACTTTCTCCCCTATGTGACTTTTGTCATTATCATCTTTTCTGATTCTTACAAAGCAAACCTAATTAGGAAGCGCTCTCATTAGTCTTCCAGAAAAATTAGCACAGCTTATGCTAATTACTCCTGTAAAATTTAATAAACTCGTTGAAATGGGAATAGTCTAATGAGGTTTTATTTATTGAACTAAGATAACTGTAAGGAAAAAGGTTAGGACACCGGGATATCCAGAGTGGTAATAAAACTACAATTTATTCGATTTCTTCACAAGAATTTTATTGCAAACCTTTTAAATTCAAATATGAGTTACAATTTGAAAGTTAAATCAATCTAGAGTTTAATTTAATAACAGGAAGTGCTCTGTGTTTTCTTAAAGTGTGATTACAATACAGCCCTGCCACTGCACTTGTAGGAGGAATTGTGCATTTGTATTGTGACAATAATACCCCTTTTAAAATGAGTTCCTGTTCATCAGATCTTCATCTCGACACATGTAACTGGATTAGTGATAAAATATACAGGCTACGCTAAGAAGATGATTCAGACACACACAAGTTTCCAAGAAAATTCCTTGAAATGACTGCTCTGTAAGCATAATAGATTTATTTTGTTCTCCAAAGAAAATTCAGATCACTATATGAGTATAAATTTCTTTAGGTCCCTTTCACTGCTGTATCTGCTGATACTATAACAGAGCAAAGTATAAAGCAATTTTAGAAAGTCATATCCTGTTCCAAACACAAGTACAGGCTTTTTTTAAATCCCACATTTTGATTAAATAAAAATATACAATTTACTTTTCATATGTATCTAGGGTTTGAAAAAGAACACAACACATGTAACTTTGAAGTTGCCAAACAGCCTCTTCGCCAAGTTCACTAAACCACCACAAAGAGGGAGCTCTCTCTATCCCAAGTTCCTCTAGCCTCATCAAAGAGGATTAATCAATCCAAAATAGTATTCCAGCATGTAAGAAGAGGATAGCATTTCCATGTAAGTACATATGTCAAAAATCCCATGGATAGATTCTATGTTAAATTCTATGTTAGGTCAGAGTCTGTGGATTCGCAGGATTTGATGCAAGAGTTAGATTAAATCCATAGGCAAGACTTTATCAGAGCGTAAGGCATGTGGGAGTGCTTTAGCCCAAATGGTAAATGAATTCTCTAAGCTCACATGCAAATAAAAATAGCTAAATATGGTTTTGCATATCAATTGACATAATAGTTAAAAATTGTGTGCATGGAGAAGTGACAATGGAGTACAACTAAACACATGTTCTGACTTGTGCAGGCATTTTAATGTTAGAACAATTTTAAAGGACTCATTTCAAGGTAAAAAGGCTCCATATAGATCACTTCATCCTTTCCAAACCAAAAGGGGGGAAAAAAATGAATAGGATAAATGTCACAAGAAACATCACTAAAGCCACTAACTGTATAAAGCACATACTTATTTGGCCTAAATTGTTTGAACTAGTCCCGGCCAAGAAAAGGTTTTAAGTACCCTACTGGGACAGATGCGAAGCGGCAACAATAGAAGCCACACTAATGCAATCCAGGTAACACAATCCTGTTTCAAAAACGCGGGGAGGGCTAATTACAGTACTGCTGAGTCAAATTTCTTATACCATTGCAACCCACAGGAGCAGGTCAAAATCAAATGTTATTCAAACCACAGTCATATCAACCTTCTGTATCAAAGTCACAATTTAAAACCAAGTGAAGAACTTAAAAGCTTAACCCATTCACAAGCCAAGCGTGATTCAGTACGGGTGGTGAGGTAGGGTTTGTATTATCATCTTTACATTATGTTTAGCTTGCATTTTAAAAATAATCTTCCGAATTGGTACCTTTTGCATCAATTTATGTAAAGACTGATAAATTGATCACTGCTGGGAAGCTGAATCTGGTTTTTTCATGTAACTGGTTTCCTCATTTTGCAGGAAGCATGTAACAGACAGCATCTCTGGCTTTCATAATTTAAAATGATTTGCAACTAGCAGTTTTGCATACTAGATAGTTAAACAAAATATTTCTGTAAACCTGCCATTAGCATCTTAACATCTCACTTTCCAGTACAATGAAAAATTCATGTGAATTTTGTAGCTTTCATGTTGCTCAAAATGCCACTCTAACACCATGTTTATAGTGTTCGACTCCGCAGCATGCTTATAAAACACATCTCTATACAGATTTCACTGTGGGGGCTTTTTCCCCCCACTTTCCCTGGTACTACCTAATGCTCACAGAAGATGAAAATATGCCTAGTTAAAATAGATAGAGATATCTTCCGAGATCCAAACATTCTCAGGATTACTTATTATAGCTAATCAAAACATCTGCTATAAGCTTCCAATATATGCACTTTCTTACCAAATTCAAACAAGAACTCTAAATCGGGGAGTTTGGAGGAGCACAATGCCAGGCAAGGCTCTGCCATACCCCTGGACCGCTCGCTGCGTGTGGCACCCAACACATCAAACCCTCTTCACCTTCTTCCGTAAAATGGACGCACTGGCACGGAAGATACTTTAAACTTCATATAGCAAACATTAACTCAGACAGTAACGCAAGGAGGAGCACACTATTCTATGCTCTCGCCCCTATATGTATAGGTAGTTTCCCTTCAGGGTCCCTCTATTCAGAGATTAGTGCAAAGGTATTGCTTTCCCCAGCTGATGACAGACACTGTCAGTACTTCATGGCCATTTAACTCGTCTAGAGTAATGCTGCATAATAACCTGGTTATCGCACACGGCTTCGTACAATGAGTTTGGACAATTAAAATGTAAAATTGACTCTTTGGCTACCATTTTGCATAATTTGCAAGCACAGAAACTACGCGTGGCTCAGAACAACTAAAATAGATGTATTGTACTACAATGATTTACTCGGTGATGTCAGATTAGCAATATGGATCTGTTTAAAAACACAATAATTAAGACAGGCAAAAATGAATTAATCAACTGACAATACAGTCAAAATAGTATTCCAACCAAAGAAAATAAGAGGAGGAAAAAAATCTTACTTTGCAGATCTATTTTTTTAACTGTTTTTATGCATAAATAAAAACCTTAAAATGTAGATGGATTGCATCCAACAGAACTACTGTAGCTAAAAGTGATAATGATTCAAACATTTTTCAAATAAAAGTTAAATATTTATAAGCACCCAACCACATTTCATAAATCACGAACTATTATTATTTTATTCCTGAAGCTTCCCTGGCACAGCATGTGAATTGAGCCACAGAAAGTCAGAAAGAAAAATCTCCTCTTTATGCACATGAATCAGTTACAAGAACCGGAGCCCTCAAAAGAGCAGGTCGCTCCGTTATCCTCCATATGGCCCTTCCATGGCAATCGCAATTGCAAAGCACAACTAATTCAGTATCAAAAACAAAATTTCATCCGTATATACTCCTAATTCTTCCCCATTAGCAACACAGGGCAGGTGTTTCATTATAATGAGGAGGGGGAGAAAAAAAAAATGGAAGGAAACAATAGCAGTCCTTACCTGTCAATTATCACTGGATCTGATGGAGTCTCATTTCTGTTTCCACAGCTTTTCTTGTCACAACAGCGGCTACAGAGCAAAAGTGAAAGGATTTAGTGCGACCATTACACTGTAAAATCATCATTACGAACATGGTAGGTTCAAATTGCCGGCTAGAGTTACCGCTCAGTCCCTGCCTGGAAATCAGTCAAATGTAGTGGGTCACATATGGGTTAATTACTATGTTTAACTTCTTGCACAGCTGGTTAGCAACAGAAAATATAAAAAGAGAGGGGGTTTGCCCCTTTCACAAATAATAATTCAAGGATCACCTGAAACGGGGAGACCTGCCTATTTGTAGCCTCTTTTCCGTAGGGTTTAACAGTTGTCCCACATACGCTCACACACAAAATAAGGCAGCCTTTTCCCCACTGAGCCGGGTTTTCACATTTGCTTAATGCCTATGTTAGACATCCACAAGATATTCCTGCATCTACACAGAGCCAAACTCTCAGCTACCAGGAAACCTCCCCCCGAAATCTGAAAGCACAATTATTCTCCCTCTAAGAAACGCTGTTGTTAATGGGGGAGCTAAAATGCAAGCGCCATCGGCAGCGGCTTTTTTTATGCTGGAGCGTGCCTATTTCCCCAAGTTTTCTGAGCGTGTTAATGATCACTAATGCCACAGAGAGCACAGCTCCGGCGGCTGGTGCCCTGCATCAGGTCAGATACAAAGCAGGCATGTGAAATATAAGCTCCGTCTCCTAAAGCACTGCTCCATCGCTGACCTCGAGGCTGGGATTCTTTTGAACTAAGGTGGCTCATTGTTTCCTAAGAGAAGTTAAATTGTTGTTTGTGATGATTCCTTGTCAGGGGTTATTGTCCATTAGGAGCCATAAATACATTGCAGGTAAGCTCATAGGCAATATATATGTTTCTGCTCAGGGTGGGAATCCCTCCTGGTGCATCTAGAGCTGCGGCTGAGCGACGTGGGGGCTGCCCTGCTCTCCCCAGCAGCTCGTCTAAACCCATGAGACCAAGTCACAGCTACACAGGTGAGCAAAGCCTCAGACTTTCACCCACCTGCCCGCCCCAGGGAAGAAACACCCATCTAGCAAGGAAAGCACCTGTTTGTTGACATCCCTTAACAGAAAATCCCCCGCCAAAGTCAAGGCTCCAAGGAATTAAAAAAAAAAAAAAAAAAAAAAAAAAAAAAATCAAGAAGCTCCTGGTCTTCCCAAGCCCTCCTTGGTCCCCAGGGACCTGCTGGATGAAGCCTGGGCAGCTCCTGTGGGGTGAGGGCTGCAGGGACCCCATCCCATGGTGGCACCAAGTGACAGGCGGGGACGACCACCCCAATTCCTCTCCCCGGCCAGACCTGAGTGCATCTTTCTCTTCAATAAACTTTCTGGTAAACCTCAACCACATGCAACCAAATCTTTGGAAACCACCGAGCTTGTTCCAAATGGCATCCCGAGGACCTGCGCATCGCCCTTATTTCAGCAGCCGGCTTTGGGCGGCTGGCAGGAGGGACCGCTGCTCGCGCTCCCGCTCCGATGAACTATTTTCTTTTCCCCAGAAGGTGGAAGAACATCAGGGCAGGAAGACGCCCTCAGAAGTGCCACACTATATAAATAGCCCTGTTGGGAGTATGACAAAGGTTCTCTTGTGTTGCTGAACAATAGAGTGAATAATATACAGTTACCCACCAAGATTAGCAATAAAGCAACTAACCACACTAAAGATAACAAAAAAAGGGGGCCTTTTACAAAAACAGCCTGTTTAAACATGGTTTAAAAAAAAAAAAAATTTGTTTTCAAAGAGAGGAAAATACATAATTCTTTTCACCGCAAAAAGCTTCAAGGCAACTATTCAGGGCTGAAACTTTTCACAGTTAACACATGTGCGGTATCTTCATTTCGGTGGAAGTTACATTGTTTGGGATTGCCAAAAAAAACTGCTTAATTTTACAGCACAATACCACAATTGATCCACCAGAAAATGCAAGAGCCTTGGCACCCAGAAAGTATTAAAATTTAGGAAAGCATAAAATATGCTGTAGGTAAATAATCATGTGGACGTTCGGGGGGCTTTTTTGCCTATAAAAGGACTTGTCATTGGAGTGCAGCTAGAATGTGTGGGGTGAGAAAATTTACCCACAAACAAGGCAATAAAAACTGCTAATCATTTTTAAATGATTAAAATGTAATTAGAAACAGAGTTGGCACAAGTTAAGACAATGCAGTTCTTGTGACTGAAGCGAATCAGGGCTAGTCCTGACATTCTCACAGCAGACTGGAGGGACAGAAATTGCCACACTTACTCAGGCGAGCAAAGGTTCCCAGGCTCCCAGCCCGAGATGGGCAGATACCACCATCCACGCACCACCAGGCTCGGAGGCCGGCACCTTCCCGGGGTTCTAACCCAGCGGGAGAGGCGGCCGCAGGGGCCCGGAGATGGGGACGCCTCGGTGTCCCCTCCTGCCACCAGCGGGACGGAGACAGGCGCTGGCCGACGGGGACAACCAGGCTTCGGGAACGGGGGAAACGCCGCGTTGCTCATCGGGTGACCCCCTCGTTTGGATAGGGCTTCCCAAGAGTGCACCCCAACAGTCCCGAGTAATACCAAGAGACCTCACTCCTTGCACGGCGATTTGAGGGTGATGGGGAAGGGGTGCATGGCTGGCACATCCCGCCGTCTGGTGGCTCTGTGGCATGAGAGGAGACCCCGAATGCTCTTTCATGTTCTAGATAATTTTTTTTTTAAACCTCAGCTTGCCTTTTGCAATTCTTTCCCCCCAACAGCAGGATCCAAGACCTTATCTACCCCAGTTTTTCTATGCAGAGAATTAAAAAGTCACGCAAATCCTGAGTTTAAGAGCTGGTCACGTGGCGCGAGAAGTGCTTTTAATTCAACTTGCCTCAAAAGCTTTGGCTTTTAGTGCCTATTTAACACTTGGGAATAAGTTCCTAAATATTCTGTACCCTTTCTCCTTTCCCTGAAGGAATTTAAAAATTCCCAGGAGCTTCTCTAAGTCACCCAGAAACCCTCCAGCTCCCAGTAAGGCTCTGTGAAAGTTCAGGGAGAGGTGCCGAGTGCCAGCTCCTTGCAGCCAGGAGGGCAAGGACTTGCCCTCGCTCTTCCCCCACGACACCTCTCCCCAAGTGGGGCAAGGAGCCACAGCTCAGGCACAACACCACGTTGGCCCACAGAAAAACCCTAGAAAATTTGATTTTTTTGGAGGGTTTGCTTGTTTTTAAAACAAGTAGTCCTTGATAGTAGTGCGGCCTCTTGCCATCGCAACCTCCTCCAGCTCCTGCACCTCATCTCTGCCCACCCCAGGTTTCCCCCCCTCCTGTTGCCCGACGCCATCCCCATCCTGCCCCTTCACAGCCCTCCCCGACCCCTGGCCACCACCACTCCCAGCTTTTGTTGCTGCCTTTGTCCTCACCCCAACCCTCTGGAGACCTGCTGCCCTCCTGGCGTCTTGCTCCATACCTTCCTCCTCCTCTTCCCTTCCCTGTGCTGGAGCATCTCTACCCCGCGTTGCCCGGGCACGCAGGAGATGGCCTCCTCGCCCCGATGGCCTCCTCGCCCCGATGTCTGGCACCCCCAAATCCTCCCGTCCCCACCCTGGCGTGGCGGCCAGGAGCATCGCTCGTGAGAGGAGCCCTGCTTTGTGTATCTGCGCGCTCGGGCGTTCTGCGGGGACAATGAACAATGAGAAATTATGGGGCGATGGCACGTGGCCAGCGCAAATGCGACTTTCCGATCATTTAGCTGCCAGGCTCTAACAAGTCGTTAGCGAGTCCGTGTGGGAGAGATTTTGCAGAAGCTCCCAGCGAGGTGGGTTTCATCCCGCAGACGATGCGGTTGGGACAACCCCTGCCCCAAACAGGCTCCTCGCCCCCAAGCGTGGAGGTACGGGAGCTTCTCGCCAAAACAGCTGTAAGATTTTATTTTACACAGACAAAAACCATATTTTACTCCAACCTCATTCTCAGAAATCACTGAACCATTTTAGCTGAAACTTTCCAAAGAAAGTCAGCCTGAGGCTGACACCCTGCAAAGGACATTTCAGCCAGAACAGTTTAAGTTTGGCAAAGCTGTAAGCCACTGAAGGTTTCATAATGGAAATTGTTGAGGCAATATTAACTATAGATGTCCCTCCCCATGCTGCCTACAATACTAATAAATTCCACTGAGGCTGTGAATTCTCCCCAGCTATTAACATTTTCGCCAACAGTGTAGATTTTTATATTTGACAAAACACAATGAAATCCTTTGAAATAAACAGCCACCTGAAGCAAACCGCAGCCCCACTTTCCTACCACAACCAGGACTCTCCTATACATTTGAATTCTTTGTCTTATCCGAGCCATAGTTGTAGTATACTATAAATACCCAGCTTTGTCACATAAATGCAAAGTTTTATTGTGCAGTTAGCCTTGATAGAAAGCACTGCTGAAAGTTGTTTAGAAATTAAATATCTAAAACAAGCTATTTTAAAATACAGAGCCCTCACTATTTCATGTCTGAAATGAAGAAATTTCATCTTAGGGAGAGCAAGCTGTCTTTCACACCATATGGCTAATGGTAGTGCATAGCAATTAGCTGGGCTGATTAATGGGGAACAGACTCTAATTTTATGCTTATAATTGAGGCTGCATTTGCACCCCTGGTGCAAATTCAGCACATCCCAACTTCCACTTACAACAGGCAAGAAATCAAGAGAAACAGAATGGTGTGGAGAGAGGGTTTTTTTTCCCCCTTCTAGACCCCTAAAGAGCATCAGATTTGCAATTTAAAAGAGTGTTAGCAGCACAATAGATGACAGATTTGTGCAATAGGGTCAAGCGGCCTGGTAAACAAACAGCACCCTCTTACACATGTACAGGCAGAAAAGGAAATGGGTAATATCTAATACGAGCCGTAAGAAATTTGAATATGTCTCCTCCACCCCGTCAGGCACACAACATCTGCCTACTATGGGCAGATATGGGCAGATTTTTTTTTAATTTTTTTTGCTACCCCTCCACCTTATGGTTATGAAACACAAAGCAAGGACTAGCAGTAAACAAATAGAAGGAGAAGAATAAAGCTCCTGATCCAGTGAATTTTAAGAACAAAGAAAGTGTAAAGTGCTTTAATAAAGGGAAAGACTGCACATCTTTTCACATTCCCAGAACAGAAATAATTTTGTCTCAGTCAAAGTATATTGAACAGCCATAAATCTTTGACGCAGGTATTTGATCTTCTGGTTAAAACTCAGCCCTCTATATAAAGTTTCAATTTACTTCTTACCCTTGATGTTTCTAGAGTATTTGTAAGAAAATTAATGTATTAAAGTGGGTGATTCTTACTCTTGCACGGATGGCTCAATGAGTGGCAGGCAGATGGAATTCCTACTTCAAAACCTTGCCGTTTAAGAATCAGGAGAGCACATCACCCAGGACTAACAGCAGATTCAGAGCCTGACACTGCAGGCACTTGAGCATGTGCTTAATTTTACTCGTGTGAACAGTCCCACTCTTTTACTGGTCTATTACAGGAGAAAAGCAAAGCATGCACTTCAGCCTTATCAGGTCAGGGGCCTCCTTTAATATTTCCATGAATTGTTCCTAGCTAGGTATCTAGTGTGAAAGTGGTGCTAATTGGGCCAATGAATTTTAGGGCAATTATGAGTTTGTCAGCGCAACTGGGTTTCCATTTGGAAAGGGAGAAGCGGCCGGGAGTCCTCAGCAAAGCGATGCTGCAGCTCCCAACGGCAGCAGAAGCTCGGGCACCTCTCGGAGATACCCATCTGATCGTTCTCGGGCTCTAATGGGTTATCTTTGGTTTCCTGGAAGAAGCCAAACCTACTGAATGAAGCAGTCTAGAAAAATAGGATGTGAAAACTCAAATCCCCCAAATCCTGCAAGGAAGAATTCATGGGGCTGTGCAGGGTTTCACCCAGGCTGGCAAAGCAAGGAGAGCAGCTCCTTCTCTGCCGGCATCGCGGGGCACTGCCCTCGAGCTGGGTTTTATCAGGGAGGAGCTGCCATGGAGGACAAAACACGCAGATCCCCAAGAATGAAAAAAAAAAAAAAAAACTTAAAAAAAAAAAAATCAACCAACAGAGAAGTTTCCATCTGAATATTTTGTCTAAGACTCTCCCCCACCAGGAAACCCTCATCCAAGTTTATTCTCTTAGAAGTGGGTACTAGTTTTTACCCTCAAGTTACTCCTTTTTAGTAAATGTGTTTTGTAAAAGTTACAACGCATGCAATGGCATTTTTACAGTCTTAAAACAACTGATTGTAACAATGAGCTTATGCAAGAACGCCTTGTCTTCCACCAGGCAATTATTTTCTGCCATCGAATAACATGTAACAAATGATTTTTTCAGACATGCAAAAAACACCCACTAACTTTAATGAGACTGCAAGGTCAAGCTCTCCTAGGTGTCGGAGGGGTTTGCGAGAAGATGCTGCCTTCTCTGCGGTAAAAAGGAAGTAGAAGAGGCTTCACCTATTTCAATCAGCCAGAAAAGAGAAGGAAGCAGCTGCAGAAGTACCGTGTTTGGGAGAGAAGATATTTGACTGTCCTGAATTTAAGTGACCAACCCCAGGCAGGCATGTTCAGGGGAAGGGAGCCCAGGGGAGAGCCAAATCTGCACGGGGAAGTTTAAAGAAAATCAACAAGAAGACATCATTTGGGTGGAGGAGCATCACCTGCTCTGCTCCAGCTGAGCGGGGACCTTGCGTGAGCAGCAACCGGGACAAAACAGGCCTCCTAACCTCAAGTCCTAATGTGCACCCAGGGGGAAAAAAAAAAAAAAAAGTACTATTTTGTCATTTTACCGAGGAGGTTTTGTTGGGAATTGGGGCCAGAGACATTTATTGCTAGAAGACTATAATTGATTGTTAATTTTGGTGAGGAGACCTTTTGTGGGCTACGGTGTCTAAATGAAAACCAGTAGCGTTCTGTTAAGAATAACTCTTTATAAATAATTGAAAACTAGTGTGACGACTGAGACCTTGCTGCTAATTACACACACCGAACTGTGTTATTTTGGGATTGTTTAATGCAAGAAAGATAAATTTAAGTCCGAAAATAGCTGCAGGTTCAACCTAGATTTTGAGAGACACGTTCATCTTCTCATCACTAATTAACTGGAAGCAGGGTATTCTTACCTGCACATTATTTCATGCGTGAGCAGAACTCGGCACATTTCTGGGTTCTTGTCTTGGCCTTCATATACTATCGCCTAGAAACAAAACACATTTTTAGCTGTGCATCAAGTTGAGTTTGGAGAAAATAAAAACGCATCACGGTAACTGAAGGCGCAGCCGGAGTTGCAAGCCAAGTCACAGGCTAAAGAGACCGCGTCTCCACTGAACCTGCTCCAAGACTTGCAGCTGGAAAACAACACAAGCTGAGTACAGCTAAGTTCCCTCCTCTCCCTTGCACATCTCTCAAGCAGTGTGTAGGATGGATTTTTTTAGTAGTCAAGACAACCACAATTTTCTTTTCAATTCAGAATAAAATATAAACCTAATAGCATTAAAAGAAAGGGGAAAAAAAAACACCACACAAACCAACAGCAAGGCTCGGCATATTTTTGGTCCTATTCACTAAAAAAAAAAAAAAAAGACAGAAAAGAGAGAGCTCATGTACTTTTAATTACAAAAGCTGCACAGCCCAGGTGTTTTCCTGGTGGCTCCTGAGAAAGTGCCTGGGCCTGATTCTGCCCTTGAACCTCGTGATCGACCACTTTCCAGAGAGCAACTCTGGAGTTACAGGGATATAAATAAGTGAGAAGCAGGCCCTACCAGATCAGAGGATACCAAAACAAACAGAGGATCAACCAGCTTGAGAAATTTGACTCTGAGATAGCACGGGGAGAACCCTTTAAGTTAAAACTGTGGAAAGACAGTGTGTTCGCATTTCAGGAGGAGTCTACGTCTGCAATGCTGCCACCAGCAGAACCAGCGGCACCGGTGAGGGATCGGCGTTACACGCTAACTAGGTTAGCGCTCACAGCCCGCTCGGTACAGGGTTTCCATCTGATCAGGACAGAGTTATGTTTTGTAACCACCTCCGGTCCTGGGCACCAGCCCCCCCAGCAGCAAACCAGGAGTGAAAAGAAGTTGCCTTTGCAACAGCATCTGTGATAGCACTAAGGTTCCGACATCTTTTAGGGTGCCACGCCAGAGCCGGGATGGATGGTTAGACCCCCAGCCTTGGAGGGACGACCAGCCCTGCATCTGAGCATCAGCTCTACCCTTGACCTTGGTGTGACTTTTTCAGCCTCTAAAATACAGGCTTAAAAAGAAGAAATTGGGGAACGAACTCTGCAGATAAAATGACAGCTGATACAGGTATCCCTAAAGCTAACGATAAAATAGATATTGAAAATAAAAAAACCAAAAGTATGCTGTATGGATGTGATACATTTCAAAGTGGTCTCATTCCATAAAAGGTAAGTGTGGAAAATACTGAGAAAAAATAAGTTATCTTAATATAGGATGAAGTAAGATCATATGAACTGCTTTCCCAGTCCTTACAAATACAACCTACCAAGGGTAAGAGTTGTTGTACCTGCAAAGGGGACACGGATCTTAGGACACACAAATCTGAAGAAGCGTGAGCTGATTTTTAACACCATTTTAATAGTAATATGCAATATTAATATTATGCATTATAAAATGATTTAATGATTCCATAAATAATATCAGGAATGGGGCTGTGTTATCTTCACTAGTTTTAATTTTTTCACTTTGGTTTCGCTATGTGCATTCCCCTAAAACCTGCGAGCCAGTGGGGGGGGGGGGCGGCGTGAGGGC